CTCTCCAGGGCTGCACCCCAAAACCCGTGTCTGTGTTCTCCCCGCAGCCGAACCCCAGGGCGTGATCCCTGGCATCATCGGGGCCGTGGTGGTGGCTGTGGCCGGGGCCATTTCCAGCTTCATCGCCTACCAGAAGAAGAAGCTCTGCTTCAAGGAGAACGGTGAGGCCCTGGCCGGTGTTGCTCAGTGGTTAGTGCGTCGGCCTGGGGGCGGGGGGCTGAAGGGTCCCGGGTTCGATTCCCGGTCCAGGGCACCTGCCCGGGGTTGCGGGCTCCATCCCCAGTCGGGGGCGTGCGGGAGGCGGCCGATCAATATTTCTCTCTCTCATCATGGATGTTTCTATCTCCCTCTCTCTTTCAAATCAATAAATGAAAATATTTCAGCCTGTATCTCTCTCACATCAATGTTTCTCTCTCTCTCCCTCTCTCTCTCTAAAAATCAATAAAAATTCTTTTTTTAAAAAATGTGAGCAATGTTGCCGTAGCTGGTGTTGCTCAGTGGATAGAGCGTCGGCCTGCGGACTGAAGGGTCCCGGGTTCGAATCCCGGCCAAGGGCACATGCCCAGGAGGCAGCTGGTTGATGTTTCTGTTTCATCGATGTTTCTATCTCTCTCTTCTCTCCCTCCCTCTCTCTCTAAAGTCAATAAAAAATCGATTTAAAAAATTTTTTAAAAATGGATAGAGTGTCGGCCTGCGGACTGAAGGGTCCCGGGTTCGAATCCCGGTCAAGGGCACAGGCCCGGGTTGCGGGCTCCATCCCCAGTCGAATATCAGCGTGCAGGGGAGTATCTAAATGTAGGGGGGTACATTTAGATACTCCTTTGCATGTAGATACTCCCCTCTGCATTCAGATACTCCCCTGCACGCTGATACTCCCCATGCATTCAGATACTCTCCTGCGTTCAGATACTCCCCCTGCATTCAGATACTCTGTTGCATGCAGACAGCCCCCCCTGCATTCCATGGCCCCCCTGCATGCAGATACTCCCCTGTGTTCAGATACTTCCCTGCATGTAGATACTCTTCTGCATTCAGACACTGCCCTGTTTCTAGATATTCCCTTTGGTTCAGATATATTTTTTGAAAATCTTATTTTTTTTAAAACCTATTTTTATTGATTTCAAAGAGGAAGAGAGAGCGAGGGAGAGAAAAATCGATGATGAGAGAGAATCATGGACCGGCTGCCTCCTGCACGCCCCCTATTGGGGGGTATGTGCCTGCAACCAAGGTCCATGCCCTTGACCGGGAATCGAACCCGGGACCCTTGAGTCCGCAGGCCGACGCTCTATCCACTGAGCCACACCGGCCAGGGCTAGATTTATTTTTTCATTTCTATCAGATTCGATCTAGTCTGGGCTGCCCGTGAGCGGCTTCGAGCCCACTTATCTTTTATCTAAAATTGAGTCACCGCTAGTGAAACTTGGAAGAAGTAGGAACAGGAACGCATGGGGAATATCAGCGTGCAGGGGAGTATCTAAATGTAGGGGGGTACATTTAGATACTCCTTTGCATGTAGATACTCCCCTCTGCATTCAGATACTCCCCTGCACGCTGATACTCCCCATGCATTCAGATACTCTCCTGCGTTCAGATACTCCCCCTGCATTCAGATACTCTGTTGCATGCAGACAGCCCCCCCTGCATTCCATGGCCCCCCTGCATGCAGATACTCCCCTGTGTTCAGATACTTCCCTGCATGTAGATACTCTTCTGCATTCAGACACTGCCCTGTTTCTAGATATTCCCTTTGGTTCAGATATATTTTTTGAAAATCTTATTTTTTTTAAAACCTATTTTTATTGATTTCAAAGAGGAAGAGAGAGCGAGGGAGAGAAAAATCGATGATGAGAGAGAATCATGGACCGGCTGCCTCCTGCACGCCCCCTATTGGGGGGTCAAGCCCACAACCCCGGGCACGTGCCCTTGACCGGGAATCGAACCCGGGACCCTTGAGTCCGCAGGCCGACGCTCTATCCACTGAGCCACACCGGCCAGGGCTAGATTTATTTTTTCATTTCTATCAGATTCGATCTAGTCTGGGCTGCCCGTGAGCGGCTTCGAGCCCACTTATCTTTTATCTAAAATTGAGTCACCGCTAGTGAAACTTGGAAGAAGTAGGAACAGGAACGCATGGGGAATATCAGCGTGCAGGGGAGTATCTAAATGTAGGGGGGTACATTTAGATACTCCTTTGCATGTAGATACTCCCCTCTGCATTCAGATACTCCCCTGCACGCTGATACTCCCCATGCATTCAGATACTCTCCTGCGTTCAGATACTCCCCCTGCATTCAGATACTCTGTTGCATGCAGACAGCCCCCCTGCATTCCATAGCCCCCCTGCATTCAGATACTCCCCATGCATTCACATACTCTCCCTGTTTTCAGATACTCCCCCTACACGCAGGTACTTCCCTGAGTGCAGACACTCCCCTGCATTCAGAAACTCCCCTGCATTCAGATACTCCCCTGCATGTAGATACTCTTCTGCATTCAGACACTGCCCTGTTTCTAGATATTCCCTTTGGTTCAGATATATTTTTTGAAAATCTTATTTTTTTTAAAACCTATTTTTATTGATTTCAAAGAGGAAGAGAGAGCGAGGGAGAGAAAAATCGATGATGAGAGAGAATCATGGACCGGCTGCCTCCTGCACGCCCCCTATTGGGGGGTCAAGCCCACAACCCCGGGCACGTGCCCTTGACCCTCTCTTTCTCTCTCTCTCTTTCTTTCTTTCTTTTTTCCTTTCTTCCTTTTTTGTGTGTTTGTGTGTGAAATCTCTTCTTGTCTCTCTATTCCCCGCAGTTCAACAGACGCTCCTGGCGAAATAGAATATGGGCGGGAAAACCAAAAAACAAACAAAAAAAACAGCCCAGTGTGTTGGCAGCAGGACTTGCAAGACGTACCTGCTGTAGCTCCAAGGAATACCTGGGGGTGGGCGGGGCCTGCCACACCTGGACCAGCCCTTCCAGGAGCCACCTCACCTGGATCAGCCCCACCTGGCCCGGTTCTGCCAGGACCCACCGACACCTGCCCGGACCGGCCCGGTCTCGCCCTTGCCTTTGCTCCAGTTGGATTCTTGCTCTTCATCTTCTATGCAGTTGGCCTGCCTGAGGGTCAGGCGGTGTGGACCTAACCATTGAGCTTTCCAGGCCCCCAGGAACATTGCTCTCGCCTCCCTCCTCCTCCCAGGCCCCCCGAGGGGTCTCCACTCGCGTCCGTCACACGCTCGCCCACTCCCCCCCCGTCATTCGAATTCCCGGAATCCGTGTACGCGGAGCCGGGTGCCCGCGGGGCCGCCTGTGGGTGTGCCCGGCCGCTGGCAAATTTCACACAAAAAAACCCCCAAAAAACGGAGGGAGGGAGCCTTCCAGCCATTCGTCGAAAGGGTTTTTGTGCCTGAGGATGGGTTTAATTTTATTTTTGTTTTCTACATCCTAATAAAAAGGGGTGAGAAGCCACACGCTTCATTTACATTTTTATTTTTATTTTTTTTTATGCGACGGGGTGACTTTTAAAAGAGGCCTTTGGAGACGGAGTGGGATGGAGCCCGCGGTCCCTGTGCTGGGGCCCGTAAGACACTCTTGGCCAAGCTAAGTGTTTGCTGGTTGCTCTGGGAAATTATCATTATTATTATTAATTATTATTATAATTATTAATTGTTATTATTATTTTGACCCTGTTATTTGCACTTGTCTTCTCACCTCCCAGACAAGGGTTTCTTGGCGTTCAGATACTCCCCTGGATCTAGATACTCCCCCTGCACGCAGGTACTCCCCTGAGCGCAGGTACTCCCCTGTGTTCAGATACTTCCCTTCATGCAGCTACTCTTCCGCATTCAGATACTCCCCTGTTTTCAGGTACAGCGGGGCCCTGACTTACGAGTGTCCCGACTAACGAGTTTTTCGAGATACGAGCAGTCTCTCGGCCGATTTTTTTGCTTCGAGTGACAGTGAACGCCACAACATCAGCCCAGCATCACGTGTCTCACGCGTTCACTTTTTGATTTGACATGCGAGTAATTTGAGTTACGAGCTCTGTCAGGGAATGAATTAAACTCGTAAGTCAAGGCCCCACTGTATTCAGATAATTCTGTGAGTGCGGAAACTCCTACATTTAGATACTCCTTTGCATGTAGATACTCCCCCCTGCATTCAGATACTCCCCCCTGCGTTCAGATACTCCCTTGCATCGAGCAGTCTCTCGGCCGATTTTTTTGCTTCGAGTGGCGAGCTAAAATTCGGGTGACGGGCCAGCTTCAGACGCCCCACCGCTAGTCGGCGCAGCGAACGTCACCGTGAGCGCCGCCACGTCAGCCCGGCATCACGTGTCTCACGCGTTCACTTTAATGATTTGACATGCGAGTAATTTGAGTTACGAGCTCCGTCAGGGAATGAATTAAACTCGTAAGTCAAGGCCCCACTGTATTCAGATAATTCTGTGAGTGCGGAAACTCCTACATTTAGATACTCCTTTGCATGTAGATACTCCCCCCTGCATTCAGATACTCCCCCCTGCGTTCAGATACTCCCTTGCATGCTGATACTCCCCATGCATTCAGATACTCTCCTGCGTTCAGATACTCCCCCTGCATTCAGATACTCTGTTGCATGCAGACAGCCCCCCTGCATTCCATAGCCCCCCTGCATTCAGATACTCCCCATGCATTCACATACTCTCCCTGTTTTCAGATACTCCCCCTACACGCAGGTACTTCCCTGAGTGCAGACACTCCCCTGCATTCAGAAACTCCCCTGCATTCAGATACTCCCCTGCATGTAGATACTCTTCTGCATTCAGACACTCCTCTGTTTTTAGATATTCCCCTGGGTTCAGATAATTCCGCGAGTGCCAAAACTCCTACATTTAGATACTCCTTTGCATGTAGATACTCCCCATGCATTCATATACTCCCCAGTGTTCAGCTACTCCCCATGCATTTAGATACTCCCCATGCATTCAGGTACTCTGTTGCATGCAGACAGCCCCCCTGCATTCCATAGTCCCCCTGCACCCAGATACTCCCCATGCATTCACATACTCCCCCTGTTTTCAGATACTCCCTCTACGTGCAGGTACTTCCCTGAATGCAGACACTCCCCTGCTTTCAGATACTCCCCGGTGTTCAGATACTTCCCTGCATGTAGATACTCTTCTGCATTCAGACACTGCCCTGTTTCTAGATATTCCCTTTGGTTCAGATAATTCCGCGAGTGCCGAAACTCCTACATTTAGATACTCCTTTGCATGTAGATACTCCCCCCTGCATTCAGATACTCCCCCCTGCGTTCAGATACTCCCTTGCATGCTGATACTCCCCATGCATTCAGATACTCTCCTGCGTTCAGATACTCCCCCTGCATTCAGATACTCTGTTGCATGCAGACAGCCCCCCTGCATTCCATAGCCCCCCTGCATTCAGATACTCCCCATGCATTCACATACTCTCCCTGTTTTCAGATACTCCCCCTACACGCAGGTACTTCCCTGAGTGCAGACACTCCCCTGCATTCAGAAACTCCCCTGCATTCAGATACTCCCCTGCATGTAGATACTCTTCTGCATTCAGACACTCCTCTGTTTTTAGATATTCCCCTGGGTTCAGATAATTCCGCGAGTGCCAAAACTCCTACATTTAGATACTCCTTTGCATGTAGATACTCCCCATGCATTCATATACTCCCCAGTGTTCAGCTACTCCCCATGCATTTAGATACTCCCCTACATTCAGATACTCCCCAAGCATTCAGATACTCTGTTGCATGCAGACAGCCCCCCTGCATTCCATAGTCCCCCTGCACGCAGATACTCCCCATGCATCCACATACTCCCCCTGTTTTCAGATACTCCCTCTACGTGCAGGTACTTCCCTGAATGCAGACACTCCCCTGCTTTCAGATACTCCCCGGTGTTCAGATACTTCCCTGCATGTAGATACTCTTCTGCATTCAGACACTGCCCTGTTTCTAGATATTCCCTTTGGTTCAGATAATTCCGCGAGTGCCGAAACTCCTACATTTAGATACTCCTTGGCATGTAGATACTCCCCCCTGCATTCATATACTCCCCAGTGTTCAGCTACTCCCCATGCATTTAGATACTCCCCATGCATTCAGGTACTCTGTTGCATGCAGACAGCCCCCCTGCCTTCCATAGTCCCCCTGCACCCAGATACTCCCCATGCATTCACATACTCCCCCTGTTTTCAGATACTCCCCCTACACGCAGGTACTTCCCTGAGTGCAGACACTCCCCTGCATTCAGAAACTCCCCTGTTTTTAGATACTCCCCTGGGTTCAGATAATTCCGTGAGTGCGGAAACTCCTACATTTAGACACTCCTTGGCATGTAGATACTCCCCCTGCGTTCAGATACTCCCTAGAGTTCAGCTACTCCCCATGCATTTAGATACCCCTCCTACATTTAGATACTCCCCAAGCACTCAGATACTCTGTTGCATGAAGACAGCCCCCCTGCATCCCATAGTCCCCCTGCATGTCGATACTCCCCATGCATTCACATACTCCCCCTGTTTTCAGATACTGCCCCTACACGCAGGTACTTCCCTGAATGCAGACACTCCCCGGTGTTCAGATACTTCCCTGCATGTAGATACTCTTCTGCATTCAGACACTCCCCTGTTTTTAGATATTCCCCTGGGTTCAGATAATTCCGCGAGTGCCAAAACTCCTACATTTAGACACTCCTTGGGATGTAGATACTCCCCCCTGCATTCAGATACTCCCCTGCACGCTGATACTCCCCTTTGCTCAGATACTCCCCTGCATGCAGATACTCCCTCTGAGTACGCTAACGAAAAGCTGTGACAACTGTTCCTCAGAGAGTGTCCGTTTCGCGGGAGTCATTCCTCTGGTCTCAGATGGCGGCCTGAGGACCCACGACGAACCCCGAAAGCATGGTACTCGCCCTGTTCTGAGGTGCAGGGTTCCACACCTGTGAGGGCTGCCGCCTCCCATGGGCCAGGTTTGGGGAAGGGGCTGGGACCGCGCGGCCAATGTCCATGGAGGGTCTTCCCCACATTGAAACTGGTAAGAGCTGCCCCTCGTTTTTGGGGGGTTCGGATGCCGAGGCACCCCCTCCTCCTTGGGGGGGGGACTTCACACCCACCCCTGCCCCCCCAGATGCTGTCATTGGTCCCTGCTCCCCCTGCTTGTCTAAAAGACTGACATCTGGCTTTTTGGGGGGCATGTTAGTGACTTTTCTGTATCTGACATCTTGAGCACTTTTGTGTCTATAAAATGAGGTAAAAAAAAATTGAGCCCAGCCAGTGTTGCTCAGTGGTTGAGCGTCGACCTAGGAACCAGGAGGTCCCGGGTTCGATTCCCGGTCAAAGGCACATGCCCGGGTTGTGGGCTCCATCCCCAGTAGAGGGCGTGCAGGAGGCAGCCGGTCCGTGATTCTCTCTCCTCGTGGATGTTTCTCTCTCTCCCTCTCCCTTCCTCTCTGAGATCAATAGAAATATATATGTTTTTAAAAATGTAAAAAAAAAAATCACAGAGTGGTGGGGTTTGAAGTCAGGATAAAAAATTAACCACAAGGGGGAGGTCAAATGGAACGTGCCAACAATTGGGGGAATTACGCCATATTTTTCTCGGACTTAAATAATGGATGTTCATTGTTATTGTTTTTTGCAGGTTGTGTGTGTGTGTGTGTGTGTGTGTGTGTGTGTGTGTGTGTGTTTTACTTTTTATGTGGAACAGAGTCTAAATGAAATAAACAAACAAACAAAAAAGAATTTTTCAATGTCAGGTGGGACTTGAGGGTTATCTTATGAGGCCTACGATGTGTCTATATATACTTTCATTTGTGAGGCCAGGTACTCCCCTTTGCTCAGATACTCCCCTTTGCTCCGATACTCCCCTTTGCTCAGATACTCCCCTGCATGTAGATACTCTCTTTGCTCAGATACTCCCCTTTGCTCAGATACTCCCCTGCATGTAGATACTCTCTTTGCTCAGATACTCCCCTTTGCTCAGATACTCCCCTGCATGTAGATACTCTCGTTGCTCAGATACTCCCCTTTGCTCAGATACTCTCCATCCTGGGGGTGGGGTTGGAGGGGGAAGGAGATAGAACAGGTTTTTGGCCAAAGAAACACAGTTAACCCTTTGCAACCACACCTGCGACCCTCTAGGTCAGTGATGGCGAACCTTTTGAGCTCGGCGTGTCAGCGTTTTGAAAAACCCTAACTTAACTCTGGTGCCGTGTCACATAGAGAAATTTTTTGATCTTTGCGACCGCAGTCAAACAAAGACTCGTATTCTTGATATTTATTTTATATATTTAAATGCCATTGAACAAAGAAAAATCAACCCAAAAGAATGAGTTCGCGTGTCACCTCTGACACGCGAGTCATAGGTTCGCCATCACTGCTCGAGGCCCCCGCTGAGCGGCCCCAGGGTGGTAGGAAGACTCTGTGACTACAGCATTCCTCCATCTCTAAAGGGGATTCTTGCATTTTCTATGTGGGTGAGCCCATGGGTGGTGGTGGCGGCGGTAAACACTTAAAAAAAAGAAATTCAGCCCTGGCCGGTGTGGCTCAGTGGATAGAGCGTCGGCCTGCAGACTGGGAGGTTCCTGGTGTTCGTTTCCAGCCGTAAGCACAGGCCCGGGTTGGGGGGCTCGATCCCCAGTGGGGGGCGTGCAGGAGGCAGGTGATCGCTGGTTCTCTCTCATCATGGATGTTTCTCTCTCCCTCTCCCTTCCTCTCTGAAATCAATAAAAATATATTTTAAAAATAAAAAAATAAAAAGAATTCAGCCCCTGTGTTCCACCCCCACCTCCCAGTCTGCCTGAGCTGGAGGCCTCTTGGGCAGCGTCCTCTGAGCTTGGGGTGGGGTCCCTTTTATCTGCCTGCGTGCTCCTGACTGGGGATGTGCCTGCAACCAAGGTACATGCCCCTGACCAGGAATCGAACCCGGGACCCTTCTGTCCGCAGCCCGACACTCTATCCGCTGGGCCACACCGGTCAGGGCAATAAATAAATTATTAAAAATGATATACATCTGTGGCAGCTGCCGGGTATGGGACCTGGGAGCAGACTTACCCTCTGGGTGTGTGTGTGTGTGTGTGTGTGTGTGTGTGTGTGCCTGTGCTCCCCACCCAGCTGTGTTCCACCCCCACCTCCCAGTCTGCCTGAGCTGGAGGCCTCTTGGGCAGCGTCCTCTGAGCTTGGGGTGGGGTCCCTTTTATCTGCCTGCGTGCTCCTGACTGGGGATGTGCCTGCAACCAAGGTACATGCCCCTGACCAGGAATCGAACCCGGGACCCTTCTGTCCGCAGCCCGACACTCTATCCGCTGGGCCACACCGGTCAGGGCAATAAATAAATTATTAAAAATGATATACATCTGTGGCAGCTGCCGGGTATGGGACCTGGGAGCAGACTTACCCTCTGGGTGTGTGTGTGTGTGTGTGTGTGTGTGTGTGTGTGCCTGTGCTCCCCACCCAGCTGTGTTCCACCCCCACCTCCCAGTCTGCCTGAGCTGGAGGCCTCTTGGGCAGCGTCCTCTGAGCTTGGGGTGGGGTCCCTTTTATCTGCCTGCGTGCTCCTGACTGGGGATGTGCCTGCAACCAAGGTACATGCCCCTGACCAGGAATCGAACCCGGGACCCTTCTGTCCGCAGCCCGACACTCTATCCGCTGGGCCACACCGGTCAGGGCAATAAATAAATTATTAAAAATGATATACATCTGTGGCAGCTGCCGGGTATGGGACCTGGGAGCAGACTTACCCTCTGGGTGTGTGTGTGTGTGTGTGTGTGTGTGTGTGTGTGCCTGTGCTCCCCACCCAGCTGTGTTCCACCCCCACCTCCCAGTCTGCCTGAGCTGGAGGCCTCTTGGGCAGCGTCCTCTGAGCTTGGGGTGGGGTCCCTTTTATCTGCCTGCGTGCTCCTGACTGGGGATGTGCCTGCAACCAAGGTACATGCCCCTGACCAGGAATCGAACCCGGGACCCTTCTGTCCGCAGCCCGACACTCTATCCGCTGGGCCACACCGGTCAGGGCAATAAATAAATTATTAAAAATGATATACATCTGTGGCAGCTGCCGGGTATGGGACCTGGGAGCAGACTTACCCTCTGGGTGTGTGTGTGTGTGTGTGTGTGTGTGTGTGTGTGCCTGTGCTCCCCACCCAGCTGTGTTCCACCCCCACCTCCCAGTCTGCCTGAGCTGGAGGCCTCTTGGGCAGCGTCCTCTGAGCTTGGGGTGGGGTCCCTTTTATCTGCCTGCGTGCTCCTGACTGGGGATGTGCCTGCAACCAAGGTACATGCCCCTGACCAGGAATCGAACCCGGGACCCTTCTGTCCGCAGCCCGACACTCTATCCGCTGGGCCACACCGGTCAGGGCAATAAATAAATTATTAAAAATGATATACATCTGTGGCAGCTGCCGGGTATGGGACCTGGGAGCAGACTTACCCTCTGGGTGTGTGTGTGTGTGTGTGTGTGTGTGTGTGTGTGCCTGTGCTCCCCACCCAGCTGTGTTCCACCCCCACCTCCCAGTCTGCCTGAGCTGGAGGCCTCTTGGGCAGCGTCCTCTGAGCTTGGGGTGGGGTCCCTTTTATCTGCCTGCGTGCTCCTGACTGGGGATGTGCCTGCAACCAAGGTACATGCCCCTGACCAGGAATCGAACCCGGGACCCTTCTGTCCGCAGCCCGACACTCTATCCGCTGGGCCACACCGGTCAGGGCAATAAATAAATTATTAAAAATGATATACATCTGTGGCAGCTGCCGGGTATGGGACCTGGGAGCAGACTTACCCTCTGGGTGTGTGTGTGTGTGTGTGTGTGTGTGTGTGTGTGCCTGTGCTCCCCACCCAGCTGTGTTCCACCCCCACCTCCCAGTCTGCCTGAGCTGGAGGCCTCTTGGGCAGCGTCCTCTGAGCTTGGGGTGGGGTCCCTTTTATCTGCCTGCGTGCTCCTGACTGGGGATGTGCCTGCAACCAAGGTACATGCCCCTGACCAGGAATCGAACCCGGGACCCTTCTGTCCGCAGCCCGACACTCTATCCGCTGGGCCACACCGGTCAGGGCAATAAATAAATTATTAAAAATGATATACATCTGTGGCAGCTGCCGGGTATGGGACCTGGGAGCAGACTTACCCTCTGGGTGTGTGTGTGTGTGTGTGTGTGTGTGTGTGTGTGTGTGCCTGTGCTCCCCACCCAGCTGTGTTCCACCCCCACCTCCCAGTCTGCCTGAGCTGGAGGCCTCTTGGGCAGCGTCCTCTGAGCTTGGGGTGGGGTCCCTTTTATCTGCCTGCGTGCTCCTGACTGGGGATGTGCCTGCAACCAAGGTACATGCCCCTGACCAGGAATCGAACCCGGGACCCTTCTGTCCGCAGCCCGACACTCTATCCGCTGGGCCACACCGGTCAGGGCAATAAATAAATTATTAAAAATGATATACATCTGTGGCAGCTGCCGGGTATGGGACCTGGGAGCAGACTTACCCTCTGGGTGTGTGTGTGTGTGTGTGTGTGTGTGTGTGTGTGTGTGCCTGTGCTCCCCACCCAGCTGTGTTCCACCCCCACCTCCCAGTCTGCCTGAGCTGGAGGCCTCTTGGGGAGCGTCCTCGGAGCTTGGGGCGGGGCCCCTTTTATCTGCCTGCGCCTCCCACACCCACACCCAAGGGAGCTGAGCCATGGACGGGGCGTGCCTGCTCTCCCGGCCTGACCTGCCCATTGGCGCCCGGAGGTGCCCGCCTGTTTTGCCCAAACATCCAGGGGGTCGGGCTCAGGGAGGCAGGGCTCAGGGGACCCCAGTCGAGCCCACAGGCTTGGGGTTGAGTTTCCTAGTTTCTGCTCTGAGACACTATCCCTCCC